CCCGGTCTCAAGCCAGCATAGGGCAGCCCCAGCGCCGGCACCCGCCCCGCCCGTGAGCCTGCCAGCCCAGCACGTCCTCGGACTCTGCCTAATCCAGCCTGGGAGTAGGCAGGGCTGTGGTGCACGTGCACCGGGCCCAGGGCTCCCTGGGGTCAGGAAGGTGGCACCACCAGGGCAGAGGCCAGAATTGGGGCAGGAGCCTAGCTAGCAGTAGGGAGCCCAGCTGGGGTCAGGAGGATAGAGCCCTGGCACGGTCCAGGCTGAGCCATCTCTCGACAAGATGCCCTTCTCTTCCCATCATTCTTTTGGCCTGACTGGCCACCTGTCCTGCCCTCTCTGGGAAGGGTTTCAGCAAAGTTAGTATCTGGTTCTTCCTGGGATCCTCCCAGGGTCCAAGCCCTAACTTACCTAATCCGTCCTGAGTGTATATGCACCTCTCAGAATTAGGGGTGTCCGTGAGTGTGGGCATGTTGTGAGAGTCATATACCTATATGTCCCCTTGTGGACCTTGTGGGGCTCCCGCTCACTGCTATGGGCCTGGGCCTGGGAGGGTGGAAGCCAGTAGGGAAAGACAGCCCCTCCCCAGCAAGCTCATCCCATCTGCCAGCTCATCGTGTCTTTAACTTCATGCTCACGAGGTCCCTGGGAAATAGGAAGGTTTGCCCCATTTGACAAGCAAGGAAAGTGAGTCACAGGTTATTTGCCCAAGGTCAGGGTGCCAGGTTTCAACCCTAGAGCAGTCTGACTTTAGACCACCATACATGCAGACTTCTTCCTCTGGGGATTTCAGATCTTGGAGGGACGGGGCGGCCACTTGGGCCAAAGTGCATATGCAGGAAGGAAAATGGCTGTCCGAGATAAGGGAATCCTTTGCGCCTGTGTGGGGCGGGGCTTTCCCAGACCCCTGAGGCACCACCATTGCTCAGGCCATGGCTGCCCCTGGGTTCAGAGGCCTGCGTGGAGCTTCCCTGAGAATCAGATTCATCATGGAAGCCACCGGGTTTGAGCATCCTTGTCTGCTCTATGTGGACCAGGCTGAGCTTGGAGCCAAGACTGCGGTACTCTCCAGGGCCAATCAACAGGTGAGGGAAACGTGCTGGCATGGGGGATGGTGGGCCAGGCTGCCACTGAGCTCTGTTTGCTCACCCAAGAGAGGAGGAGATAAATATAGACACAGGATTACTCAGACACAGCCTGGGAAAACCGGCTCCACACCTTGACTTCAGCCCTGGACCAGTCTCACCTTTACCTGCCTGCCCACTCCGTGCCCGCTGCCAGGCCTGCCCTGCCTCCTCCCAGGACTCCCCACCTGGAAACTCTGGGACAGCCCTTCCTTCCTACCAGCTCTCCGGGGGCGGGACAGAAACCGAGGCCCAGAGAGAGCAGGGCGCTTGCCTCAAGTCCCCCAGCAGGTTAGGAGCCGGCAAAGCAGGGCTGCACCTGGCATTAGAGGTCACCTTTTCAGGCCCAGGCACTACATCAGTCCAGACTCAGTTTCCCCATCTGTGAGACAGGGGCCTGGCACACCCAGCCCTCCATTGCCTTGGGCTTGCTGCCCGTAGGATGGAGCTGGAGACCACCCAGCAGAAAGGGGATGAGGCTGAGGTCTCGTGCACGAGGAGACGCTGGCTCGAGCGGGGTGTGTACGGCTCGGGCGCTCGGACTCTGGAGCCAGACTGCACGGGCTCAAATCCTGGCTGCGCATTTGTCAGCTGCGGGACTTCGGGCAAGTTACTTAACATATTTCCTCATCTCAAAAATGAGAACAACAATAGTAGTTGTTATTACATGTTATAAATATTTCATGTAATATGTATTGTATACATATCATAACAACAGCCCAATAAGGGCACCAGCGTCCGAGAGTGTCAGGGAGGTTTAGGTGAGTTACTACACGCAAAACACTTACACCCGGGCTTGGCACAGAGCAACTGCTTGCGAGTGTTTATTAGGATTGCCCAGCCTGGCAGGTGGAGGCTGTGAGGCAGGGACCTGGGAGGGCGGCTCTGAGGCTCCCGCCCGCCAGGGGAACAGCCCGGCCCTGGGCCGTACCTCGCACAGGTCTCTGCAGTGCTGTGGCCTCTGCAGCAGCCCGCACTCACCCCTACCCCCAACCCCCCTTCCCCGCCCTGCCTGCAGCTTCTAGTCAGGCAGACATGGACTGGAATGCTGGCTGCACCACTTACAGGCTGTGTGATGCTGGGCGAGCGAGGGGCCCTCTCCAAGCCTCAAATCCCACTTTATCTGCCCCCGGATTGGTAGGAGAGTTACCTAGGGGAATGTGGGGGGAACATGCAGCTCGGCCAGGCAGATGGGCTCTCCACACCTTTTTCTTGCTTCCTCCAGCTGCCTCCCGGCTGTGGGCTCAGCCCGAGAGAGGCCGTACCCAGCTACTTGACCCTCAGCCATGCAAGGGCCCTCAGGCATGGGAAACACGCACCACCTCAGACACTGCAGGAGCGCAGGCCCCTGCCCACAGGCCGGTGGGACCCCTGGGGATCCATAAGTTCCCTCCTGCATGCAGCCCCCCTGCACCCCTCATGCACCCGTGAATGTCCGCAAGGGTGTCTGTGCCCCCCCCCCATGCGTACCTGCACACACACACGTCCGTGAACAAATGCGTACCCAGGGCACAGCCGTGCACACACATGCACACCCATGTATGGGCACAGAGGCAGGGCCTGCGGGCATGTCCCCGCACATCCTCACCTGCACGCACGCTCTCACACTCAGGGGTGTCCCAGCTGGGCCCGGCCCTAAGGTGGCCGTCTTCACAGCAGAGGAATGCAGACAGCTGGGGTTACTCCGCCAGCGGACGTGAGGGAGAGGCCCCAGGGAAACCACACGGGCAGGAATCCAGGCAGGCATGCCAGGCTGAGGCGGGGCCCTCGGGTGCCAGGAATTGTGCTGGAGGGGGCGGGTGCAGATACTTGCTTACTCCTGTCTGTCCCATCGCCCAGTGTCTTTGGAGCCTCTGGGACTTAAAGGCGAAGGGGTCTCACAGATCATCGTCCTCCCCCCGAGGTAGGGAGCAGGTTCTCCCTGCCCAGCCCTGCTGTGTGGCAGGGCCCTGTCTCTCTCTGGGCTGCAGTGGCTGGTCTGAGCTGTGAGGGGCCACACCAGGTGGTCTTCCTCATGGGGGAACCAAGAGAACTACAGGAGGAGGAGGAGGGTAGTCATTGACTCAACTCAAGGGACGGACACGATGTGGAAGTCTCTAGAACTCCTTAGGTAGGGCTCTTGTTGACCCAACAGCCACCGTGTGCTAAAGCACTTGCATCTTCCAACTCCCCAGATGCTCACAAAACAGGCCTTACTCCCATTTACAGATGTGGAATCCGAGGTGCCGTGACCTACCCGGGTCCCAGAGCTGGCGACTCTGGAGCCCAGCACCCAACCATGGTGCGTATGTGTGGCTTCTGCCACTGGGCACATTTCACACAGCAGGTGAAGAGGTCTGCAGGGGAGGCCTATGCCCGGCAGGCAGCATGAAAAGCACGGTCCCAGAGGCAGGGAGCCCTGGCCCCAGGTGGTACCCTGCCACATCTACCTGCTGCAGGTCACAGCTGTGCTGCCCATGGGTGGGACCACACGGGGGGCGGGGGGAGGCTGAGAGCCACCTGGGAGCGTCGGCCTCTTCTGCCAGCACCCAGCACGGGGGACCAGCTGAGGCTAGGTGGGGGCCATGTTGGTGTACCGAGAGAGCAGGCACTAAGACGGGAACAAGGCCTCTGCATCATCAGCCCCAGGGTAGGAGAGGTTACCCCCTACCTCCCCCATAAATAACATATGGCCTCAGAGGAATGGAAGCCAATGAGTTCCAGAATAGACGGAGCAGGGGGAGGGGCTGGTGAGGACCCCAGTGAGGACCTGCCCAATGGCAGAGTCCCTGAGACCAGAGCTGATGTCTGCAGACCCCTGTGAAAGGTCCCCAAGCCAACTGGGTCCCCCATGTTCCAGCCCAGGTGGGACAAGGGACGACACCAAGCCCTGGTGTCCAGAACCCTATGGAGGAAGGAAGGGGGAAGGAGGGAGTACATAACCAAAACCCAGAGAACCCTAGCTGGACTGGCCACCCTGCCTGCCCCTGGCAGGCTCTACCCACAGGCTTGGCCATTTAGTTCCTGGAGAAGCTGAAATGGGAAAATGACAGTGGAGTCAGGGGAGGACCCAGCAGGCGAGTTACATGCCCAAAGCCATCCAGGGTAGGAAGGATTGTAACTCCAGCCACCACTCCTCCTTGAGGAAAGCCCGAAGCAGAACCTCGGAGCTGGTCAGGTCAGCAGCACTCAGCAGCCTGGGATCCCCAGCCTGCCCCTCCAGCCCAGGAGGAGTGCCCATACCCTTCAAGAAGAAGGGAGCCCAGTCTCACTGCCCCAGGCTCCCACCTGCTCTGCCAGTACCAGGTGTGGTGGAGGCAGATGACTTCACCTCTCTGAGCCTCAGTCTCCCCAGGCAGCAGCAATGCCCACCACTCAGGGTTGTTCTGATCATTAGCTGGTGTCACATTTAGAAAGATCCAGGCACAGCCTCACACACAAAAGCTCTCACCGTGGCCATCTGTAGTTTCTAAAGACTTCTCAAGGCCCCTGCACTCCTTTCCAAAGCACTCCTAGGCTTGAGACAATACCCAGCACAGGACTCTAGAGGGGAGCAAGACAGCCAGTGCGACACTGCTTCCCAGACCCAGGCCCTGAGAGGGGGAGTGATTCGGGGAAACGGACTCGCAGCCTGCTTCCTCTCCCAGGACAGCCCTGAAGAGAAGAGACCACGGGCTCCCCGCAGTGTCCCCAGGGCAGCCCTGGGGGCTTGTTGTGGCTCTACGACCTCTCGGTGCCACCCCCTGGCCCTTCCAGGGCACAGGCTTTCCCTCCTGGGCAACCCTTCCCCACCCCCAGCTGCTGTTTCCCTGTGCCCCACGCAGAGGGCTTGGGCTGCGGGGACCACATGCAGCCAGAGGCCCAGAGGCGGAAGGGAGGGTCGGCCTCCCCCGGGGTGTCCTAGAGTCCCGCAGGCGGAGCCGGAGCCGCGGCGGGGGGCGGCGGGGGGTCGGGGACCAGGGCCCGGCAGGAGGAGTAGCCGTAGACGTCCTTGCTGCGCAGGATGTGCGGGGAGAACTGGTGCTTGAGGCTGCAGAGGAAGCTCCAGAGCTCCGCGTCCGAGCTCATGAACTCCGTGCTGCGGGGCATGAACAGCTTGAAGGCGTCGCCCAGTGCCTTGGTGCTGTCGGCCAGCGACAGTTGCGACCGCGAGTACACCACCTTCTCCTCCCGCGCCTCCAGCTCGGCCCCTCCTCCGGCCCTAAAGCCGCCGCCCCGGGCAGCCGGGGCCGGGGCCGC